GCCAGATCACAGAGGTTGAAAAGTGAACAGGATGTGAGGGAGTGGCCACAAGAGTAAAGGCAACTCTTTCAAGTGGTTTGGCTGTGAAGAGGAGGAGAAAGGGCAGATGCCCTATGACTGTGGTGGCATGGTTGCTGTTGTTCTGGTTTTTTTTAAAAATGGCAATGGGTTGAGCTGATGAAAAGGAGCTAATAGCAAGGGGCAAGTTATGATGTAGGACAGATATAGCTAATGAAGAGGATGAGATGTCTGAAAATGGAGAAGATTAAAAAAATATTTAATAAGCACCTACCATGTACCAGGCACTGTTCACTAGGGATACAACATTGAACAAAACAGACAAAAATCACTGCCCTCAAAGAGCGTAGATTCTAGTAGGGAGACAGAAAATAAAAAGGTAAATAAGTGAAATACATGGCATTTAATATAATTGAATCTAGTGCTCTTTGTCCAGCATTTATGTCTATAAATGTCTATCATGGATTGAATTGTGCCCCCCAAAAATATCTGTCAACTTGGCTAGGTCATAATTCCTAGTGTTGTATGATTGTCTACCATTTTGTCATCTGATGTGATTTCCCTATGTGCTGTAAATCTTATCACTATGATGTGAATGAGATGGATTAGTGGCAATTATATTAATGAGATCTACAAGAGTAGGTAGTGTCTTAAGCCAATCTCTTTTGAGATATAAAAGAAGTGAGCAGAGAGACAGGGGAGCCTCATACTACCTACAAAGCAGCTCCGGGAGCAGGGTGTCAGCTCCATTGGTTCCTGTGTTGAGAAGCTCCTAGTCCAGGGGAAGATTGATGAGAAGGACCTTTGTCTAGAGTCGACAGAGACAGAAAGCCTTCCCTGGGAACTGACGCCCCAAATTTAGACTTCTAGCCTACTAGACTGTGAGAAAATAATTTTCTCTTTGTGAAAGCTATCTGCTTGTGGCATTTCTGTTACAGCAGCGCTAGATAACTAAGACAATGTCCAAACCAAAACCAAACCCATTGCCGTCAAGTCAATTTCAACTCATGGCGGACCCACGTTTCAGAGTAGAACTGTGCTCTATGGGTTTTTAATGACTATAATCTTACAGAAGTCAATTGCCAGGCCTTTCTTTTGTGGCACCAGTGGGTGGATTTGAACTGCCAACCTTTCAGTTAGTAGCTGAGTGCAAGTGGTTTATACCATACCACACAGCGACGTAATGTATATATACGTTGTTGTTGTTGTTAGGAGCGGTAGAGTCATAGTACGACTCACAGTGACCCCATGTAAAACAGAACGAAACACTGCCTGGTCCTGCACCATCCTCACAATTGTTATGCTTGAGTCCATTGTTGCAGCCACTGTGTCAGTCCATCTCATTGAGGGTCTTCCTCTTTTTTGCCCATCCTCTACTTTACCAAGTCCCTTCTCCAGGGACTGGTCCTCTCCAGGACTGTCCAAAATATGTGAGATAAAATTTTCCCATCCTTGCTTCTAAGGAGCATCTGGCTGTACTTCTTCCAAGACAGATTTGTTTGTTCTTCTGACAGCCCATGATGTATTCAATATTCCTTGTCAATGCCATAATACAAAGATGTCATTTCTTCAGTCTTCCTTATTCATTGTCCAGCTTTTGTATGCATATGAGGCGATTGAAAATACTGTGGCTTGGTTCAGGAGCACCTTAGTCCTCAAAGTGATGTCTTTGCTTTTTAACACTTTAAAGAGGTCTTTTGCAGCAGATTTGCCCAATGCAATACATCATTTGATTTCTTGACTGCTGCTTTCATGGGTATTGACTGTGGATCCAAGTGAAATGAAATCCTTGACAACTTCAATCTTTTCTCCGTTTATCATAGTGTTGCTATTGGTCCAGTTAGGAGGATTTTGATCTTCTTTATGTTAAGGTGTAATGTATATGTAATGTACATATATGTAATGTATATGTAATGTGTATGTAATGTAATGTAGTCTTTGATTTTCATCAGTAAGTGCTTCAAGTCCTCTTCGCTTTCAGCAAGCAAGGTTTTATCATCTGCATATCGAAGGTTGTTAATGAATTTTCCTCCAGTCCTGATGCTGTGTTCTTCATATAGTCCAGCTTCTTGGATACTTGCTCAACATACAGATTGAATCAGTATAATGAAAGGATACAACCATGACACACATCTTTCTTAACTTTAAACCACACAGTATCCCCTTGTTCTGTTCGAATGACTGCCTCTTGGTTTATGTACAGGTCCTCATGAGCACAATTAGTGTTCTGGAATTCTCATTCTTTGCAGTATTATCCATAATTTATTATGATCCACATAGTTGAATGCCTTTGCATAGTCAATAAAACACAAGGAAACATTTTTCTGGTATTCTCTGCTTTCAGCTATGATATCCCTCGTCTCACATCCTCTTCTGAATTTGGCTTGAATTTCTGGCAGTTCCCTGTCGATGTATTGCTACAATCACTTTTGAATGATCTTCAGCAAAATTTTACTTGCATGTGATATTAATGATAGTGTTTGATAATTTCCACATTCTTTTGGATCACTTTTCTTTGGAATGGGCACAAATAAGGATCTCTTCCAGTAGATTGGCCAGGAAGCTGTCTTCCAAATTTCTTGACATAGATGAGTGAGCATCTCCAGCGCTACATCTGTTTATTGAAACATCTCAATTGGTATTCCGTCATTTCCTGGAGGCTTATTTTTTGCCATTCCCTGAAGTGCAGCTTGGACTTCTTCCTTCATTGCCATCAGTTCTTGGTCATATGCTACCTCCTGAATTGGTTGAACATCAACCAATTGTTTTTGGTACAGTAACTCTGTGTATTCCTTCCATCTTCTTTTGATGCTTTCTGGAAGATAGATTAATGGAAACAACAAACCGAATGGAAATCATAAGAATGCTGACACATTGTAAAAATTGTAACCAATGTCATGGAACAATTTATATAAAAATTGTTAAATGGGAACCTAATTTGCTGTGTAAACTTTCACCTAAAACACCATAAAATAGTTAAAAAAAAAAAAAGACCAATTGCTAGCAGCAATTAGGGACCCTGAACCTATGCCTCCAGCTTAGTGAACTGTGAGGCCCGGTGTTCCAGGAGACGCATATCAGATTCTCTTTTGTAGGCCTTGTTATTGTTGTTGTTAGCTGCCCTCCGGCCAAGTCTGGCTCATGGTGACCTTATGTACAACAGAACAAAATGTTGCCTGGTCCTGCATCATCCTCACAATCACCAGCAGTTCAAGTTCATTGTTGTGACTGTTATCTCAGTCCATGTCACTGAGGGTCTCCCTCAACTTCATTAGCCCTCTACTTCACCAAACATGATGTCCTCCTCTATCGATTAATCCCTCCTAACGATGAGTTCAAAGCAAGCAAGCCAGACAATGTTCTGTTGTGATCCACAAGGTTTTCATTGACTAATTTTTAGAAGTAGATTAACAGGCCTTTCTTCCTAGTCTGCCTTAGTCTGGAAGTTCCGCTGAAATCCGTCCACCATGGGTGACCCTGCTGGTATTTGAAATATTGGTGGTATAGCTCCCAGCATCACAGTAGCATGCAAGCCACCACACTATGACAAACTGACAGACGGGTGGTAGTTTTGAGCCTTCTGTATTAGTAGTGTACAACTGAGGCTTCTGTAACAAAGAGACCCCAAAACGTACTGCTTTAAAAGCAAAATGGAAGTTTATTGTTCTTTTACATAAAAATCCAGGTAGGTGTTGCAGAGCTGGTTTGGCGGCTCAGTGTTGTTGGGGAGCAAGGCTTGGTCTATCTTGTTGCTCTGCCTTGCTCAGCATTCTGTGTGCATCTTGTTGCCCAGTTGGTCTTCCAGCTGCTGTCATCACACTTTCATTCCAGGGGGTGGGGTGGGTTGGAAAAGGGAGATAGGAAGACGTGTCCTTTCTCTTTAAGGACGTAGACCAAGACTGCACACATTTTTGCTCACGTCTCATTAGTTAGAACCTGGCCACGTGACCATACCTGGCTGTAAGAGAGGCCAGGAAGTAATATTTAACTGAGCAGTCATATGCCCAGCTAAAATTTCTATTCAGAAAAGAAGAATAGATACTGGAAGACAACCCTGCCCCATCCTGAACATTGGCATATTTAATGATTTTTCTCCTCTCTTAGGAAAAAGATGGAAATAACATTGTGACTGTTAATTTTCTTCCTAGTAAGTAATTTTCTTATTATTGCAACAAAGGAAACGTGGTATCAGTGAAACAAATGAAATACTCTCAAAGTACCTTTGAGAAATCTTTGTCTAAAAAATGTGCCAGAATTTGCTGCTGTTTATTGTTGTTTCTTAAACAGTGAGCCTTCCTGCTCATTGAACCTGCCCCAGATAAAGAATGGAATTATGCTTGGAAGTCACCACAAACAATCATTTTTGACTCAGGAGAGGCTAGAAAAGGATCAGAACACCACCCATCTTTTTAACTATTGCCCATTGTGTCCTTACCTTCTGTGTTCAGCTCTCAAAAGGTTATGGAAAAGGGAAGAAATCACATAAGCAGAGAGCTGATATCAATGTGGTGATATCTGAAGTGTTGTTTTGTATAGAGAGTAAAGGGACAGTAGAAAATCCTTTGTGACTAATCTCTACCTCTCTGCCTTGGTGCATAAGAACCAGAAATAGGCCTTACTCAAAAAAGACACCACCCCTGGTTTTGGGAAGGATCTGGTAAAACACAGGTGGCTCATTTAATGAAGTGGAGGCAAAGCAGAGACTATAGGCCGCCAGGCTTTTTAGGAGAAGGATTACAATTATAGTTTATGGTTTTCTGGTTTATTTCCTTCCATTAAAGCGAAACAATTATAAATAGATTTATTGTGCAAAATATGTTTTGTATTATTACTTTTATAAAAATGATATTTGCAAAAACCACTCAAATATATACACTTACAACTTTGAAAAGTTTTAATGTGACCATTAACAAACATATGTAGAACACTGAAATATCTTCATTTAAGAAAGTCTAAAATTTTATATATACTTGTCTTCACAGCCTATACAGTTCAGACATCTGAGAGCGTGCCCCTAGCTGCTGCGACAGAGGCTTATTTGAAAGCTTTGGCTGTTTGCCATGGACCTCTGGACCACTATGACTTTCTGATCAAAGCCCATGAGCTAAAGGATGATGAACATCAAAGAAGAGTCATGCAGCGTTTGCAGAAATTACACGAGGACCTTAAAGGATACAGTATAGGGACAGAGGGTCTTTTTTCAAAGGTGAGGTTTGTGTGATACTGAAGGTTGAACAGCTAAAAGCGTAAGCATTTTATAAAATGGATTAAATGCAGTAGAGTACAATCATGAAACAACTTGAAATTTTCCACCAGTTTTTTAAAGAAGCTCTGTTGGATTTCCATTCCTGAACTCTTGGTGTTCCGTAGCTTTTATTTACCTTCAGTGATTCAAACCACTTAATATTTAGGTGTTAAAAGAATGCTGCCCAGTCTAAATGAAAGCTTCTATGCAATTCAAAGCTTTCCCTCTCCATCTAGCTTAGGCCAGGCCCAGCAATCAGCAGTGGGAAAGGGGGAGTGATTTGTTCTCCTTTTTCTCCTTCTTTCTGTACTTGCCTGGCTTCTCTAGGGTCAGAGTGAGGGGGATGAAGAATTATAGTGAAACAGCTGTTAAGGCCTTTTGTGTAGTAGATGCTGACATGCTAGCTCTTTGTTGAGGGACATGTTGGTGGGTTCTTTTTTTTTTTTTTAATTGTGCTTTAGATGAAAGTTTACAGCTCAAGTTAGTTTCTCATACAAAAATCTATACACACATTGCTATGTGACCCTAGTTGCCATTCCCACAATGTGACTGCACATTCCTCCTTTCTACTCTGGATTTCCCATGTCCGTTCAACCAGCTCCTGTCCCTTTCTTCCTTCTCATCTCGCCTCCAGACAGGAGCTGCACATTTAGTCTTGTTTATCTATTTGAACTAAGAAGCACACTTTTCAAGAGTTTATTTTATGTCTTATAGTCCAGTCTGTTTGGCTGAATAGTTGGCTTCCGGAATGGTTTTAGTTCTGGGTTAACAGAGAGTCCAGGAGCCATGTCTTCTGGTGTCCCTCCAGTCTCAGTCAGATAATTAAGTCTGGTCTTTTTACTAGAATTTGAGTTTTCTGGGGTCCCGCCAGTCTCACTCAGACAATTAAGTCTGTCTGGTCTTTTTACTAGAATTTGAGTTCCGCACCCCACTTTTCTCCTGCTCCATCAGGGACTCTATGTTGTGCTCCCTGTCGGGCGGTCATTGATGGTAGGTGGGCACCATCTAGTTCTTCTGGTCTCAGGCTGATGGAGTCTCTGGTTTCTGTGGCCCCTTTTGTCTCTTGGGCTAATGTTTTCCTTGTATCTTTGGTGTTCTTCATTCTCCTTTGCCCTAGGTGGATTGGGACCAATTGATGCATCTTAGATGGCTGCTCGCTAGCTTTTAAGACCCAAGATGCCACTCACCAAACTGGGATGCAGAACATTTTCTTAATAAACTTTGTTATGCCAATTGATCTAGATATCCCCTGAAACCATGGTCCCCAGACCCCTGCCCCTGCTACACTGTCCGTCAAAGTGTTTGGTTGTGTTCAGGAAACATCTTAGCTTTTGGTTTAGTCCAGTTGTGCTGACTTCCCCTGTATAGTGTGTTGTCCTTCCCTTCACCTAAGATAATTCTTGTCTACTATCTAGTTAGTGAATTTCCCTCTCCCTCCGTTCCTACCCTTGTAACCATCAAAGAATGTTTTCTTGAGTTCTTATAATAATGATCTCATATGATATTTGTCTTTTTGCAACTGACTTATTTCACTCAGCATAATGCCCTCCAGATTCATCCATGTTGTGAGATGCTTTGCAGATTTATCATTGTTCTTTATCGTTGCATAGTACTGCATTGTGTGTATGTACCATAGTTTGTGTATCCATTCATCTGTTGATGGGCATCTAGGTTGTTTCCATCTTTTTGCTATTGTGAACAATGCTGCAATGAACATGGGTGTGCATATGTCTACTGGTGTGATGGCTCTTATTTCTCTAGGATATATTCCTAGGAGTGGAATTGCAGGATCATATCGTATTTCTATTTCTAGCTTTCTAAGGAAGCGCCATATTGTTTTCCAAAATGGTTGTACCATTTTGCATTCCCACCAGCAGTACGTAAGAGTTCCAGTCTCCTTGCAGCCTCCCCAGTGTTTGTTATTTTCTGTTTTTTTGATTTGTGCTGGTAATGCCAGGGTGAGATAGTATCTCACTGTGGTTTTGATTTGCATTTCTCTAATGACTAGTGATCAGGAGCATTTTCTCATGTGTCTGTTAGCTGCTTGAATGTCTTCTTTGGCGAAGTGTCTGTTAATTTCCTTTGTCCATTTTTTAATTGGATTATTTGTCTTTTGTTGTAGAGGTGTTGGATTCTCCTGTAGATTTTAGAGATTAGATCTTTCTCAGATTTGTAATAGCCAGAATTTTTTCCCAGTCTGTAGGTTCTCTTTTTCCTCTTTTGGTGAAGTCTTTTGATGAGCATAAATGTTTAATTTTTAGAAGATACAAGTTATCTAGCTTATCGTCTGGAGTTTGTATGTTGTTAGTTATAGTTTGTGTCCTGTTAATGCCCCGTATTAGGATCTCTAGCATTGATTCTATTTTTTCTTCTATGATCTTTATAGTTTTTGGTTTTATATTTAGATCTTTGATTCATTTTGAGTTAGTTTTTGTGTATGATATGAGGTATGGGTCCTGTTTCATTTTTTTTGCAGATGGACATCCAATTTTGCTAGTACCATTTATTAAAAAGATTGTCTTTTCCCCATTTGAGGGACTTTGGGCCCTTGTCGAACAAAGATCAGGTGACCATAGGTGGATGGATGTACATCTGGCTTCTTGATTCTGTTGCATTGGTCAATGTATCTGTCGTTGTACCAGTACCAGGCTGTTTTGACTACCGTAGCTGTATAGTAGGTTCTGAGTCAGGTTGTGCGAGTCCTCCTACTTTATTCTTCTTCTTCAGCGGCGCTTTACTTATCCAGGGCCTCTTCCCTTTCCATATAAAGTTAATGATTGTTTTTTTCCATCTCTTTAATGAATATTTTTGGTATTTGGATTGAGATTGCATTGTATTTGTAGATTGCTTTGGGTGGAATTGTCATTTTCACAATGTTGAGTCTACCTATCCATGAGCATGGTATGTTTTCCCATTTATGTAGATCTCTTTTGGTTTCTTGCAGTAGTATCTTGTAGTTTTCTTTGTATAGGTCTTTTAAATCCCTGGTTAGATTTATTCCTAAGTATTTTATTATTTTAGGGGCTATTATAAATGATATTGTTTTCCTGATTTCCTTTTCATCATTCTGTTTATTGGTGCCTGGAATCCAATGGATTTTTGTATGTTTATCTTGTATCCTGCTACTCTTCTGAATCTTTCTATTAGTTCCAGTAGTTTTCTCATAGAGTCTTTTGAGTTTTCTGTATATGGTATCATATCATCTGCAAATAGGAACAGCTTAATGTCTTCATTACCAATTTGGATGCCTTTTATTTCTTTTTCTTGCCTTATTGCTCTAGCTAGGACTTCTAGCACAATGTTAAATAGAAGTGGTGATAAAGGACATCCTTGTCTTGTTCCTGTTTTCAAGGGGAATGCTTTCAGCTTCTCTCCATTAAGAATGATGTCTGCTGTTGGTTTTGTATAGATGCCCTTTATTTTGCTGAGCAGTTTCCCTCATATACCTATTTTATTGAGAGTTTTTATCAGGAATGGGTGTTGGACTTTGTCGAATGCCTTTTCTGCATTGATTGAGATAATCATGTGATTCTTTTGTTTTATTTATGTGGTGGATTATGTTGATTGATTTTATAATGTTGGACCATCCTTGCATACCTGGTATGAATCCTACTTGATCGTGGTGTATTTTCTTTTTTTTATGATGCTGAATTCTATTGGCTATAATTTTGTTGAGAATTTTTGCATCTATATTTATGAGAGATATTGGTCTGTAATTTTCTTTTTTTGTGGTGTTGTTGCCTGTTTTGGTATCAGGGTTGTGCTGGCTTCATAGAATGAATTTGAAAGTATCCCTTCCTTTTCTGTGTTGTGAAATAATTTGAGTAGTACTGGAGTAAGCTCTTCTCTGAATGTTTGATAGAATTCTCCAGTGAAGGCATCTGGGTCACGGCTTTTTTTGTTGGGAGTTTTTTAATTACCTTTTCAATCTCTTCTCTTGTTATGGGTCTGTTCAGATTTTCAACATCAATTTGTGTTAGTTTGGGTAGATAGTGTGTTTCTAGGAACTTGTCCATTTCCTCTAGGTTTTCAGATTTGTTGGAGTATAGTTTTTCATAATACTCTGTTATGATCCTTTTTATTTCAGTTGAGTCTATTGTAATGTCCCCTGTTTCATTTCTTATTTGGGTTATTTGCATCCTGTCCTGTTTTTCTTTTGTCAGTTTGGTTAGTGTTTTGTCCATTTTGTTGATTCTTTCAAAGAACCAACTTTTGGTTTCGTTGATTCTTTCTATTCTTAACTGCATTTATTTCTGCTCAGATCTTTATTATTTCCTTTCTTCTGGTGGCTGTAGCCTTCTTTTGCTGTTCTCTTTCTGTTTGTTCCAGTTGTGTAGCTAATGTTTTGATTTTGTCCCTTTCTTCTTTTTTGATGTGTGCATGTATTGCTATAAATTGACCTCTGAGCACTCTGTTTGCTATGTCCCAAAGGTTTTAGTATGATATGTTTTCATTCTAGGAATTTTTTTATTCTATCTTTGATTTCTTCTGTTACCCAGTGGTTTTTAAGCAGGGCGTTATTTAGTTTCCATGTAATTAATTTTTATCCCTTGCTTTTCCTGTTGTTAGTATCTATTTTAATGGCTTTGTGTTCAGAGAAGATACTTTGTATTATCTCAGTGTTGTGGATTTTGTTGAGAGTTGCTCTGTGGCTTAAGAGGTGGTCTATTCTAGAGAATGTTCCATATGCGTTGGAAAAGAATGTGTACTTTGCAGCTATTGGGTGGAGTGGTCTGTATATGTCTATGAGTTCAAGTTGGCTCATTGTGCCCTTTAGATCTTCTGTATCTTTGTTGAGTTTCTTTCTAGATGTTCTGTCCTTTACTGAGAGTGGTGTGTTGAAGTCTCCTACTATTATAGTGGAACTGTCAATTTCTCTTTTCAGTGCTGTTAAAGTTTGTTTCATGTATTTTGGAGTTCTGTCATTGGGTGTGTAGATATTTATGATGGTTATGTGTTCA